CTAATTTACTGAATGTTCCGATTGTTTGTAAAATAGGAATATTTTCTACATCATTCAATTAAGGTTTTTTTTCCATTCTCGAAATTTTAATGGTTCAAAGCAAAAACTGGGTACTACTAAACGGAGTACGCTAGAGTACGTCAGAGTACTTTAGAGTATGCTATGAAAATTATGTTATTTAATGCAATAAAATTGTTTATTTATATATGTACAACTTGATTGAACATTATTATAAACTTGTATTGCAATATTTGTTTCTAATATTTGTTTTTTGCTATACTTTGAGAAGAAACTAGTTAACATCAATAATTCAACGCATTAAAGATTACTAATTAATACCCCAATCTCGATTACTACTAAAGACATGTAAATTTATCAAATATTAGATTATTTGCATGTATAATTATTTTGCACACTCACATATGCCCTTATCAACATTTTTGACAGATTGAAAATTGTTTGAAAATTGAAAGTAAACATTTTTAAAAATTATTTTACTGAACAATATTTATCATTACACCTATTGAAAAGCATTCTTATAGTAAAAACTTTTGTTCTATACTTGGCATGAATTTATAAATTCATAAGTTTTTTTGCCAAAAAAAAAGCCATCATAGAAGGATGGAAATAATTTAAAACAAAGTACGGGAAAATGAAAGTTGAAGTTGGTGATGAGTTCTTATGCAGGGGCGTAGTATCCGGGGGGGGGCCAGGGGGGGCCTGGCCCCCCCACTTTTTTTCCCACCCTTACTTACACACTATAGGAAATGTTAATTCAAAGCCTGTTTGCCCCCCCCCCCTTTTAGAAATGTACCCAAAATGTAGTATAAGAATTGGTACTAAAAGTAGTTGACACTGAAGAAAAGTTTACCTACCCCCCCCCCCCCCCCCCCCCCCCCCCCCCCCCCACGAAACACGAAATAGGTTTTTCGACTTCGGGGAACTTTTCCCTTATTTTTTTTTTTTTTTTTTTTTTTTTTGCTTGTCAACTTTTTCAGGTAAGTAAAAAAATTTTTTTTTCTCTGCCTGGCCCCCCCACTTTCAAAAACGATGCTACGCCACTGCATAATAGATATAGCACCAAAAGGTTAGTCTAAAGTCATTAACTAGATCTTAACCATAAAACCACACTTAAGTCCCTGTAATTAACGCACATGCTTTTTTGGCAATATCGCAAAGATATTCTATTCTATTGGACCTAAATGTAAACTAAGTAAACCCAAAAAAATTATTTTAGGGGGCGCTTTGACCAATTTAACTATAGATTTTAGTGTAAGAAACTTCGTTTTTCTATATTAGAAAAAAAAATTCTGGGGGCGCTTTGACCAAAATCAGGGGACATTTTGACCAAAATTTGGGGGCGGTTTGGAAACTTCGTTTTTCAATAAAATATGTCAGGGGGCGCTTTGACCAAAATCAGGGGACATTTTGACCAAAATGTGGGGGCGGTTTGGAAACTTCGTTTTTCAATAAAATATGTCAGGGGGCGCTTTGACCAAAATCAGGGGACATTTTGACCAAAATTTGGGGGCGGTTTGGAAACTTCGTTTTTCTATAAAATATGTCAGGGGGCGCTTTGACCAAAATCAGGGGACATTTTGACCAAAATCATGGTACGCATTGACCAAAATCTGGGAACGCTTTGACCGGGACGGTTTTCGTGGGGAACGGTTTGACTGGTTCCCCCACTGTATTGCCATTGGCTGAACATGACGTCACATCATAGAGGCATAAATATTCAAAATTACAAAAAATTATTTGATTAAGCATCCAAAAGTAGGAGAGAGCTATATGTAGACTCCAAACCGTGGCTTGAGCATGTTGAGACTGATCATGATCATGTTACAAAATATTAACCTTCTGCTTATTTAGTTAATACACTTATTATAGGGTTAACTATATTAAGAGAAGATAAATATTTCATGACAAGCCCGTGAATCACAATGACTTCTTGATCATCTGATCATACCATAGACCTAAAACGAAGGGACTGCCGACTTATGACGTCACAATCACTATCTTCTTGCGCTCGCAGCGCCCTCACCGGGATGTATAGAAACATACTTCCTGTAATGAAATCAATGTTGTCGCATCACTGATTTCTGCATTCTTTTAGGAAATAACAACAAATTAGGAAAATCAATCACTTATCTAAGCTTTCTTCGACGAAATGATCTCGATGTACTACTTCGGAAGTTATAACTTTACGCTATGGAGTCGATGGAAACGTTTTAACTGCAGACATCAGCTGACTACGACGTGACATCTCTTGAATCATGAATGCTGTCGATTATATTTTACGGTAGTACAGTCATGTTTATCTTCTTAATTATTTCACAAAATAAGGACACAATTTATCTACCAATATTTGAACAACGACCAATTTCAGATCTTCGCTGAATTAATATAAATAATAAATACATTGTGAAGTGCTGTTTACCATAAGTGCTTGAGGACGGGACCCCCCTCCCCCTTTTTCGATATAGACCCCTGGGCTTTTTTCTCATAAATAATCCTTCATTGACTTATTTGTGATAAGATCTATACCAAATACATGTATTAGAAAAATTACCTGCAGCAAACGTTCTTTAGAATCTACCCAAAACTCTATATAAAAATCAACGAGAGTGGGGTAAAATTTTTATAGAAGGTTAGTTTAATCAAATTTTCTGAATTGATAGGATAGATTATATCACAAATGTGTCATCCATATATAATTTATATGAAAAAGTCTAACAGGCCCTGGGGTCTATATTTATGTGAAAAAGTCTAACAGGCCCGGATGTCTATATTGGGGGGGGGGGGGGGTCCTGTCCTCAAGCACCTGTGCCATTTACAGTTTTTAGATCAACAGCTTAATAAATTGAGATTAGATGTTCCCGTGAATGATCTACATAATTATGTATTTTTAAAAAGTTGGATTTATGTAATCATGTTAATTCAGGATTACAACATTGTCAGTGTTGAAAAGATTTTCTAAGAGATTATTTTTTTCATTTTTCCCCACAGGTTGTGTTCATAGCCTGTCCGCTTCTCAAATGAGAATAGGGGTCTGCCTAGCACACCAAACTCTATGGAAAATATTTTTAATTTAGAACATGGTCATGCCATTTACCACCTGGTATGATGAGTTAAATGTGAAAGAACAAAGACTGGTCACAAACCTGCACAGGATTAAATCAACAAAAAGTGCCAAGTGGTGTGTCCCATGTATGCACGGCTGAGTTGCACATGACTGGATTTCAATGATTTAATTATCATGTTTAGAACTCCAATTTTTTTCAACTATACTGTGTTTATCCAGAATGTGATTATAATTAATTTTTGTATATCATAATTCAAAGACAAACTGCATCAATACCGGTATAAATATTAAATACATGTAATTTAATGTGACTGTAATGAAATATTATTAAAATCATTGTTATATTTAATTTTAGACTTTTCCTTTTCCATAGTGAGCTTATATTGGTTAGCACTGTTTTAGATGTACATGTATGGCAAATTTAATGTCTTTTTAAAATATTTATTTTCAATGTATCAATCACAACTGCAAAATCATAATCGCTGAGCATCATGTTCAATCTTATCAGCAGCTTTGAAGAACAAACACTAGTAAGTAATTATTTTATTATTTTATATATGCAAGCTCTGATCAAAGTGTTTGATCTTGAATCGACTGCTTAAATAGAAGTTTTCATAACTTACTGTAGCTCAAAGCACACAGACACTTGTAAATCTTATCCTTTTTTTCTTTTTATGAAATTATACTCCCTATACCTTGTTAGGTAGGACTTTAGGGAAAATGTTATTTTTTATATTAAAAGAATCATATTTAAATGGGAACAACTCATAGGCGTCGGAACCGGGGGGGGGGGGGGGAATCATATTTAAATGGGAACACTTTTTTTCCAAATATATACTTAGTATAGACATTGAACATATCTTCGTAAGTTTATCCCCCTCACTTTCCACAGATACGTCTCAGTATAGGTTAAAATGGGGAAAGTGCAGGTGGAGTTTGGAAGAAAAGTTTTGGTACTGGAGTTCGAACCAACCTACCCGTGTTTGGGAAATAGACATTTCCCTTTTTTTTTTGCTTGTCAGGTTTTTTGGGAGGTACAATTTTTTTTTTTTTTACACTTAGCCCCCCACTTTCAATTTGCTTCCGACGCCAATGCAACTTTACCCCTTTTAGCCCTATGGTAACTTTCAAACCCTAAAACAGTTTGACAAGCTAAAAAAAAAAAAAAGGAAAAATGTCTCCTTTTCGTACAAACTCGAAAATCCTGTCGGGGGTGGGTGGGTAGGATCGAACTTCTTGCATACATTATAATAAAAAAAATTTGGGTGGCTATAAACTTGCCAAAGGTACTAATTACTTGTGTTACTGTACCATAGTCATGCATAGGGGCCTGTTGCGATATCAGCGTTGTCAAACACTGCTATTAAGCATAAAATGTTTGCTCTTTAAAAAATTCACGTATCAATAGGCCTATCTGTTTCTTAAATATGAACTTTTTTTTCATCGAGCAGCATCTTGAGCAACCTCACATGCATTTTGATAGCTTCTCTGTGATCATGGTCATCATCTGTCATCTTACATGTCTTAATTACTCAAACTGTATAGCTTTTTGTACACATTAAAAACAAGATAAATACCTCAAAAGCTGCTTAAAGAACTCTTTAGTGTATTAGTAAAAAGAATTTGGTACATTCGGCAAAAGTTTAATTCATTCCATCCTAGAATATCTCGACAATGTAGATGTAAATAACGTAATCTTTGTAATGCCGGATGTTTTCTATGCATCCCGGTGAGGGCGCTGCAATCGGAGGGAGATCGTATAGTGATATCTATTGTGACGTCATGGAGTCGGCGGTCCCTTCGTTTTAGGTCTATGATCATACCAATAAAAAAAAAAAGTTTAGTTTAGGAATACAAATGTTTCATTAAAGCAGACAAAACTTGTTACAATAAAGAAGTCATGAAAAAGAAATACCTTCTTTCCAACCAAATTTTTTCAACTCTTTTTGGGCAAATTTGCTTTGTGACATTCTTCTTCGTGTTACACCGGAAGTAGCACATGTTTTGTTTCCTCATAGAACAACGATCCCGATGTAAAAAAAAAATCCAACCAATCGACAATACTTAGATTATTAGTAGAAAATTGAATCAATATTATAAATTATATTTGAGGCATATAAAAACTATTGAAGAAAAAATGCGTTGTGTTTTTATAGATATATCTGAATACACTAATAGAAATAAAACTGAAAAAATCTCTGAAATTAGCCCGATTTTAAAATATCATATCAATTGCTGTTTTTAGGTCCCTAGCTGATATATTTTAAGATACTTTTTAAATTTCTTCTCTTTTTATGTTGTTTAATTTTTCTTTTTGTATTCAGACACTTAGAAAAAGACATAAAAGAGTTTTTGAAGTGTATTATTTTAAGATTATTTTGATTTCATATAGAATGGGTTCAGACTCCATTTGGCATAAAATAGATCCTTTTGCATTTACTTTTGCTTCATTTAAACTTTAAAAATAGGAAAAAGCTAAGCTTGTATACCAAGATCTTAGAACGTAGAATGTTGACAGCTTAGGATGTTACCCGTTTAGATTTGATGTTGGATGGGAGATCAACTTATAATTGTTAACAAAGATTTGATTTACCTTGTATAGTTACCAAAATGTCCCGGGGTCAATGAAACAGACTTAGTCCTTCGAGATATTTATAATATTATGCGCCCGAATCGATAAATCCGAGGCGTATATTGTTTTTGTCCTGTCTGTTTGTCTGTTTTATCTGTTTGTCTGTTGTCAACTTAAACCTTCGCCATAACTTCTGAAACATATGAGAGATATCAAGAGACTCCATATTAATTTGGTATGCATACTCCACTTATTAAGTTTTCTCAAATGACACCAAGGTCGATGACCTTGACTGTGACCTATATGCTAAAAATAGCTTTTTCGAACTTTCGCCATAACTTTTGAACCATGAAAGATCTAGAGACCATGTTTGGTATGCATACTCCACTAATTAAATTCTTTCAAATAACACCAAGGTAAATGACCTTGTAACATTGACTGTGAACTATATGCTAAAAATAGCTTTTTCGAACTTTGTTGCCGCCGGGAACAGAGTGTTTCACAAACACATCTTGTTTTTGCCTTGAATTAATCTCTAATTTTGCATATAACAATTCTTAAATTGTAAAACAATATTATTAATAAAAAGTTTGATTTTGACCCGTTTGACTTTATTTTAGTTTGATAATTATGTCTTCCAGCTTAATCGATATACTCATGAGTAATTAATTTCCGAGTATATAGGACCAGTTTTTAAACCAAGGTACAATCAGATTTTAAATCGAGGCAGGCTGCTTTCAGATCAATCTCGAGAGCAGAGTTGTCGTTCGTTCCTCTCTCAGACACGAATGTATGAGCCGATGGTTGAGAGTGCTTTCAGATAAGTTGATGTTACAGGGATTTCAGCCACCTCGTTTAAAGTCAGCATGTCCTAAATTTTATGGTCGTTGTACATGTTGTAATGGTGTAAAAACTGGCGTCTTCAAATTAATTCAAACAAATCCAAAATAGTTCACTTTGGAAAAAACTTAAAAAAGAAGTACTCATACATTTTATCTAGGAGGAGAAAATTTACCTTATGAACCTCTCTACAAGTATTTAGGAGTAATCTTTGATGAGAATATTGATTTTGAAAAGAAATGCGGAAAATTTAGGAAAATCTGGAGGACGGCCTCTCGGATTTGTGATATCTAAAATTCACTCCCGCAAAATGGTCGGATTCGAAACGTTCGAAAAGTTATATGTCAACTGTGTTGCTCCTATTTTAGATTGAGTTTGACGAGCCACAGATCATTATTGTACAGAGATAGTGCAGTCCCGCGCCGTACGGTATTCATTAGGAGTACACCGATTCACGCCAATGACTGCAATCCAAGGTGAATGTGGTTGGATGACATGTTACTATATCGACACCAGATTAACATCTTGCGGTTCTCGAAGTGTCTGGAGACATTAGAAAACGACAGTCTGACAAAGAAAATTAAATACCAGAACGAGTTGACCTCAAAAACTAAATTACTATTTGATTCTCTGAATATGGCGTATATATACACAATTTTTTAGGAACAGGAGCAGTACGTAAGTATAGACTTACAGCGTATACCAAAACCCATTCGATCGGCTATCATATCATATGGCAGAGTTTCATAATTGAAACTGGACGTTATAAATCTTAGCCACCGCAAGGTAGAATTTGCCAGTTTTGTTACAATAATGAAATTGAAAATGAAAACATTTTTTTCAGTATATAGTATTAGTAAATTATATGAAATTAAAAGGGTAGACTTCTTTCGCAAAATATAAATGATTTAAAAATTTGTCAAATCTGTCTTTAGATGATATATTATTTTTAGATGTTTTATTTAAATTTCCTAGACATTCCGCAAACTTTATATTCGATGCTTTTAAAACTCGTCAGAACTTCACAAAAACAACATTCAAATACATCCTTTACTATCTTCATTATGTGCTTTTGTATATACTCGTACAGTGTATGTATTTATTAAACTATTTACAGTGACATGTAGGTCCTTTGAGTCGGGTGTAAGAAACTTAAGTCTATTGCTGCAAAAAATATATTGTACTACTGTAACAATACACATGTCACTACATGATAAATAATTTACTTACTTATTTATTGTAGTGACTTTAGCCCATCATTTGACCGTATTTTTGCTGACTCTCATACCAATTGTTAAGCATTTGTTAATTTTAAATTTTATATTGAATGCTCCTTCTACCTCATTTATAAATACGGCTAATCCCGGATATGATCGACCGGGAGGGAATACATAATCTTCCAAGGCACCTGATCCCATCCCTCGAATTTCCTGGAGTCTGTATTTATGCTCTCTTCACTGATTTGAATTGTTTAAAAAATTTTATTGTCAATGACGCTATCTGTGATAATCTACAAAATTCACATGCATGACGCAAATCCCGTCTTTTGACATCACCGCAGGCTAAGGGTTTGTGAGGAGAGTAGCGACTCGGAAACGTTGGCTAGCAAAGAAATATTTTCACAAAAGAAAAGGTATTCGGAGTGAATTTTACATCCATTTTATTTTTTTACAATTCAATTCAGATAAAAATAGAGCTAAAATGACGTCTTGTCATTTACCAAGAGTCTGCAGCCGAATTAAAGTTTAAAGCCAGAGAAGGAGCTAAATTTTCCATAGGCATAAGTTGCTGTTTCTGCAGTCATTATCCACGCATGCTCGTGTGCCTTCATCCTTATAATACTCGTTGCCGATCCTGTTTCGTAGGTGTTGTTTACGGCAAAGACGTTGTTGTAGCCAACTATGTCGCCGTTCAGGACGAGGTTTGTTTGGAACTTATTTCCAGGTCCAGTTAGAGTAGTCCAGGTGAAGGAATAAATTCCGTCGGTGGGTGCTGTGAATTTCCCCGTATCTCGGTCATAGGCTTTCCCTTCGTTAAGTGTAACTGTTTTAAAGACTACGACGGCACGTGCAGGCTGATTTTGCAGAGCGCTTGAAAGTCGAGCGTTAAAAGCCACGATACCTGAAAAGTAGGCGTTCTTTAAATAACTTAATTTGTTTTCATGCTTAATATAGAGTCTTATATACTAAACACCGCCAGTTTCAGATAGAATCGTGCTTTTCTTTAAAAAATAGCTTAGCATTACACATTTTCCTTTCTTCCTGGCTTTCAATGTTGGTTTACAATGTTTCTTCCCCTGTTTCATAAGATAGAAATTGGTCTTGTGTCTATTTAGTAACTTTATTTTCTGTAATCTCAGTGGATTTTTTTTTATCAATTACACCAAAGTTGTTCGACACTGTCTTTGTGAGGTTAAAATTCCAGATTATTTAGCATTTATTTAAATCATTACTTTAGTTAAATCATTCAGAAATTACCTTATCTTTGATTGAAGAAGGAACTACCGGTATAAGGTGTGATTAATAAGATTTAACAAAAATAATAGAATCACTTAAATAATTGTAGATAAATTATTAAAAGTCATCTTATTACTAAATTTGATGGAAATATTTCAACAATAAATCCACTTAATTTGAATTTGAAAAAAATCAAATAATCATGACCATTTCCTGTTTATTTGAAATATAAAACTGCAATTATGGGGCCATCGACCAAAAAAATATTAATGAAATATGCCATACATGCACATGTATATATACTGAAAAATGTCTTTAGTCTCTTTTTAACGGCATTAAAAAAAATAAATATTCAAATTGAATATGTAACTATAAGAAAAACAACAAAATTAAATGATGAAGCCTATTGGTTTTCTACACAGCTCAGATAAAAGTATATAATACTCAGTAGTCAAGGACATACGCAACGTAGTTTGAACTTTATTGTCTTTTTCCCTGGAACTAAAGAGTTCCGATAAACAATACAAAATTACAGCATTTTAATATATATATATATATATATATATTGACGGTTGAAATATTTCGAAAAGTGTTTTAAAGTTTTTTATTGTATTGACAAAAAGAGACTTTGGATATATATATATATATATATATATATATATATATATATATATATATATATATATATATATATATATATATATATATATATATAGTAAAAATAATTAAAAAGAAAACACGAAGACAACAAAGTAAAGCATTAGCGCTTTCATTTAAAAAATCTTCAGATGCTTTACAATCAAGTTTTTTAACTGTCACATAGTAACGCCTTCTATGACGTCATAATTAGCGGAACGTAATACAGTCTCTATGACGTAATTCTCCCAGCAGTTATTACGGGAAAGTCAAACAATGCTATTTAGCTTTGGTTTTAAAGTAGTAATAAAGTGTTTTTCTTTTTCTCTTCGTTGGATTTGGTTTCCGGACATCTTATAGAACGGGAAAACGGTAAATTGTCTCTTTCAGGGCCGAAATTTCACTGTAAATGCTGACATGTCCTGTGAAACTAAAAACTTAATTTATGTCATAACATGCCCGGGTTGTAACGAATTTTACATCGGAGAAACTAGTACTACTCTGAGAGCTCGGATAAGAGTCCACAAACAGCATATTAATAACCTGCAAT